GCTTGGAAATCAACTTGCCAATCAAGCTTCAACATCTAGCACCAGAGTCATAGTGAAGTTTCCAGCTAGCACCGAAAATACAAGGGAACATATCAATGCAATTATTACAAGGAGTGACAAGGTACTTGAAGAGTCATCTCTTCCAATCAAAACATCATTTCCAAATAAAATTGTTGATGTGGAGGTTGAAGAGAAACTTGAAGAGGTAGAAGTTGAGCCAACTGCTGTGGAAAATAATCCACAAGTCCATGATGAGGGAAAGAAACCTTTGAGAAGGTATGTACGACCTTTACCCTTTCCTTAAAAATTTCAACAACAAGCAATAGATAGTAGGTGGAAAATGTTTTTAGAGGTAGTTGAGAGTTTGAAAGTTTTTATTCCTTTAATTAATTTGCTTTCCCAAGTCCCTTCTTATGAAATTTTTTTGAAGACATTCTTGCTAAAAAGAGGAAATTAAATATGGGGAACATGAGATCATTGCTATGGCACAAGAGTACCAGGCTTTGACACCAGGTATTTGGAAGAGTGTAGTTAAGTATAGAGATCTAGGGAAATTCACAATCCCTTGTGTTATTGGAGGGCGTCCTATAAAGGGATCCTTTTATGATCTTGGAGCCAGTGTTAGTATTATGCCTTTATCTCTTTGTCAAAAGTTGAATCTAGGAGAGCCTAAACCGATCCAACTTACTTTGCAAATGGCTGATCAGTCCACTACAAGCCCTATTGGAATTCTTGAAGATGTCCTAGTCCGTATGGACGAGTACTTTGTCCCTTGTGATTTTATTGTGATAGCTGCCCGAGAGAATCCCGATATTCCACTCAATTTGGGGAGACCTTTATTGGCTACAACTGGAGCACTAGCTAATTGTTGCAAGAAAGGGATCAATGATCTTTGATTTTGGGGAAGAAAAAGTGGAGTTCAATGTTCTTGAAGAGAAAAAGTCAAATGGTGCTGGAGAATGCAGCATGCTTCATCTCATCATGAAGTGGGATGAGGATAACCTCCAGGATAAACCTGGATGAGCACTCCATAGTGAGGATACGTCGAGCTAACGACGTTAAACTTAGTACTTCATGGGAGGCACCCCATGTTATCTTTTATATTGCTTTCTTATTTATACTGGTTTATAGTTTTCGTCTTACGACGTTAGTTTTTATTTCGTTTACTTTAGTTCACATTGTTTTTATTTGCTTTTTTATTCTTTCTCTTTTCTCTTGTTCTCTTTTCCTTTGTTTTGCATCAGGGACGATGATGCAAAATTTTAAGTGTGGATGAGGAGTCAATAATTTGGGGATAATTTTCAAAATTTTTGCTTTTGCTTGGATGACTCATATGCTATTTTTTGTGAATAAGTTATTTGTCTCAGCATGCAATTACAATTACTCCCTCTTGTTGGTTTGTGGTTTGTTTTGGTGTTACTTGTTGCAATTCAATTTGTGATTGATGATTTGAGGTATAACACATGATTGATCTATTCCCTTGCCAATAGCTTTGTTAACCACTTAATAATTGGATAAACTCTTGATCTTGCGTGTTATGCATTGTTAGTGAAGGTTTATGTGAGATTCTGGTCATGGGTGTTTTGCTAGAACTTGTCTCATTACTCCCTAAGTGAAGTCTAAGTTTTGCATATTTTGAAGTGATTTAGGCCATCTTTTATTAGCCATAGCCTTTAAGTTTGTCCTTCCATATGTTTTTATCCCTTGTGTCCCCGTTGAGCCTTTTTGTTTTGTTTAAATAAGTGCTAAGCACTTATTTCCTCATTGTGATTGTTTTTCTTTGTGTTACCCCAGTTATTATAAACCTAGCCCTTAGCCAAATGTTTTCCCTTCCACCATTGAGAGAATGGAGTTTTTGCCTTTAATATTCTTGTTAGAAGAGTTTTTATGAAGTTGTGCCAAAAACCAATTTTTGTTACAAATGTTTAAGTGTGGGGTCTTGATTGATTGGATTAAAGTTATCTTGCTGAATTCAAAAGAAATCCAAAGAAAAAGAATCAAAGAAAAGAAAAGAAAAGGAAAAGAAAAAAGAAAGAATAAAAGATTGAAAGTTTTTGAGTTTGGACACCCAATTCACCAAAGAGTTGCTGTGCTCTTAAAGTGAATTTTGCTCCTTGAGTTGTTATTGTCTCATCTCTTCCAAGTTTTGAAAGGATAGATAATTGTGACATTCTCTCTTTTTTGTTAATTTTCCATACCCTTCTTCATTGTTAGCCACTCACCCTTATCCCCATTACAAGCTTATTAAAGACCTACTTGATCTTAGCATGCATTCTTAGAATTGAACCAATGAGAGTATGAAGGGCAATCCTCTGGGATCTCATTCATGAGCCGTGTTTTGCATAATCTTAACTGAGTATTTGTGCACAGTTGATCCTCACACACTTTAATAATTCTTGGTGCTCAGTTATTGGCTTGAGAATGGATCTTATATGCCAAACTAATTTGATTCTTGAAGCTTGTTGATTTGTAGCAAGTTAGTTGGTGGTTTTAAAAGGTTGTGCAAGAGAGAGTATGAGTAATTTGTATGCTAGACTTGTGATTTATTTCTTGGTTTTGCATGAGGACAATCAAAGTCTTAAGTGTGAGGGAGTTTTAATGTGAGTCTAATTGTGCATATTTCTTGTATTAGTTTGAATATATTTGTTATTAGTCTTAAGCTCATGACTTTGGTAAATTTAATTGCATAATTCCTTGTTTTATCATTTAGATATGGTTCACACGTGTTTTGAATGTTTTACGGTGTTTGCTAGCGTTTTGGAACCATTGTAGGTCAAGAGCAAAGACAAGGGAAGTTCTAGGACGAATTTGGAGTCAAAGTGGACCAAAGGATGCGTACACAGCAAGTTCGACGTGTTGAGAAGTTGCAGCAGGCATGCGGAAAATCAACGTATCTTTCGACGCGTCGAGCGACTCACTCGACGTGTCGAACTTTTCCAGTGCGGTTCGAGAAATTAAGCATGAAGGCTCGACGCATCGAGATCGACAAACCTGCTGGGCTGATTCGTGGGTCGTTTTGCACGAAAATTTCATATTCTCTTCGGGTTTAGTTCCAGCTATAAAATCTCACCTTCCTCAACCCTAAAGGACAATCAGAGATCTTTGGAGACAAGAAAGAGGAGAATCAAGAGCAACAAGTTGTCTTGGGAAGCAAGAAGAAAGGTAGGTGGATTTGAGAAAATCGTTTGGTTAATATAATTCTTGTACTCTCTTTGATAATTTGTAATTCCTTTATTATATTTTGCTATGTATAATTTAGCCATGCTTGGCTAAATTCCATTAGAGATTCTTGGGTAAAAGTGTTTATGAACCTATGTGCCTGAGCTCTCAGATTCTTTAATATATTATTTTTTGGGTTTTAAACTTGTGTTGCAATTGTGTTTATATTGTTGTTGCTGGTAATTCAGGGCCCGGATTACTTGTTTCATAGCTTTGTTTATGTCATAACGGGAGTTAGGCATAATTGAGAGTGCATACAATTGCACTTAACTATTGCACCTTGGGAGATGGCATATATGTTAGGGAGTTTATTCTTGATTGTTGGTCCCGATAGAATGAGATGAGAGTCTAGAGGGAGGGGGGGGGGGGGTGAATAGACTCTTTTCGTTAGAAGCCCTAAGCGTCACCTTTCGGTGTCTTGGCGCAGCGGATAAGATAGATTTGTTTTAAAAAACTTTGCACGAGTTTGCGTACTTAGACAAACTTTCGGTAAGGATAAAGAAGAAAAGATATGAAAGCAAAATGAAAGAACGTAAGTAAGGAGATAGAGAGGACACGAGATTTTATAGTGGTTCGGCCAATGTTGCCTACTCCACTCTTCTTCCACAATTGTTGGAAGGATTGCACTATCACTCTTAGTACAATTACACAAAGACTTCCTTGATCACTAAGCCGGACAGCCTTCGTAGGTTTTTCAACTCCTCGAGTTTACTCCGCCTCTATCAACTTCTTCTCCTGAGTTGAGGTTGGTAGAAAATGATTTCTTGAATTCTCCAACGAAGAGATCTTGACTCTGAGATATGATAGCTTCAAACTGATGTCAAGACTTCCTTGAGGTATAAGACAAGTGATTCTCCAAATAACTTAACACCTCAAAAACTGGTTCACAAAAGCTTTTTGTAAGTCGTAGACGTTTCAAGAGCTTTTGTAAGTGAGTAAGTCGAGTGATAATGAACCAGCACCTTCTTAGATGATGAAGGTGAGTTTATATAGGTGATGAAAATCCATCCGTTGGAGGGAGATGAAATTTTCGAACCTTTTAACCATTGGACAAGGACCGGGGAGCTTCATGCATTAAATGCTCCATTAATGAGGTTGTACCATGTAGCCGTTGAAGGTATGGAAAGCATTAGGGTTTTGTCCTTTAGCTCCAAGAGATAGTACATCTTCATTTAATGCTTCTTGAAAAATGAGTCCCATAAGATGAAGTCCTTATTGTCCTAGGATGTTGTCAAATCAGACAGGTGAAACATTCTCCTCGTTGTTGAAGAGAAGTAATGTTTAACAAAGATCGTCTTTTACAAACACTGTCCTTTCGTGTTTGTTGACAACTCCTGCTTTACTCTCGTTGTTGTTCTTCATGTCTCGTGTCTTCTTTCGCCTTGGAGACCCTAACATCTAGTCATAACTCATTTTCGTGTGTTTGTCTAGCTTAACACGAATTACAGGAGAGTTATGGCAACTTTCGTCTAAGACGAAAGCAGCGAACCAAAAACAGCTAATGGTTAGGGGTCTACTTTTCTACATTACATTGATATCATCAAAATCCTAATACAATGTTCCTAACAATTTCCCCCTTTTTGATGATGCCAAAACCTATACTCTTCTTATAAGGCTGATAAAAGTTCCATAAGGATTTTTCTTATATAAAAACAGCCATACTCGAGAGTTTACAAGTCTTTTTCTAGATAAAAGCGTTTAATAAGCGATATAAGGACAAGTAACTCAAACAAGTGACACGAGATGTGTAACAATGAGAGTTTCATATATAAAGATGTGATCATTACAAAAACAAACTTCATAAATATAACAAGAGTTAACTTACATTTCTAAAAGCTTTGATTTCTGTTGTTCAGCTTCCTTGAGCTCTTGGTTATCCTTTTCTTCTTGTCGCTTTAGCATCCTGTTGAAGTCAATTTTCTCATTGATTTTTGCTCTGAAGACTTTGATAGGGTTGGTCCTGACAAGCTCTTCATGTTCTCCTTTGATGTTCAGACCAGTGTAATTGTTGTAAGCTTCCCGAATGTTGCTTCCTTCAACAATACCATACTTCCACCACGAGATCAGTTGAAACGAATTCATGCCTTCTTGGTAGCTCTTTCCTGATTCCTTGTGCACTTTGAAAGCTGCATTATGCATGACATTTTGTGGGGAGTCTTTGGTTACACTTGAAAGGTCTTCAATGAGACTTCTGATCCTTTTTCTTTCCATTGCTTCATCTTCTCTTCTCTTTTTCTCTTCATCATGCTTCCTCCATAGTTCTTTGTTTGCTCTTTTGATTCTCTCATTTTGAGTGCTCATGTGGTTTTGTCTTGTATGGTTGTCTTTTGTTTTCAACCAAGTGGGATTATTGCAGCCCTCGAATCGTTTGCCACTGCCTTCTTCATATGGGACGAAGTCCACAAAGTTTCCTATGCCATCCATAGTTACTTTGTTGTCTCTCATAAGCTTTTGCCTTAATTTCATTTGTTCTCTCTTTGGCAGACCTGTAAAGATGTATTTGGCTTCAGAACCAAATGATTGTCGAGGCTTGATTTGTTTGGAGGATTGGTATCGACCATATCTTGACTTCGAGGAGTGATGACCACGAGACTTGGAAGATGGATTCGGGTTTCTTTGGTCATAGTCTCTTGGTGTCCGAGATGGAGAGTGTCGTGCTTCACGAGCTTGATCTTTCGTGCTATCTCTCGGCTGATCATCATCCTTATCTTTGTCATCATTTCTCTTTTCCCCCTTTTTGGCATCGTCAGTACAGGTGGTAGGAGGAATGGAAGAGTCCTTGTTGATTGCAAGCAAGATATCCTGAGCATATCCGAGAATTTGAAGTGCATATTCGCCCAGTTGGTACGAGTTGTCCTGATATGTATCAATCTTTGTACAGGCCAAATCCACACGCTCTTTGAGACCAAAATGAGAGTGCTTGATTTCGTGTTGTTGTCGCGCAACTTTGTTCAAGGAAGCTTCGAGATCATAGAGTTTCTTTGTCATTCACTCAAGGACCTTGTGATCTGATTGGCTTTGTTGCTGCGATTGAGGCTGTGCTCGAGGTTTAGATTGGGCTGCTATCAGAAAATCGACCTTCGTGCAGAGATCATCCATGACTTTCGTGTCCTTTTCTCTTAAAGCAAGATATTGCCTGTGGATGGTCTCGGCTGAATGAACAGTTCCTCTCATGATGTTCATGATAGTTCGTGGGGACTCCGCAGGGGATTCTTCCTCAACGTTTGTTGGTGATGTGTCCATGTGATCATCTTGAGGTGGTGCTTCCCGGTTTCCACCATTATCTGAGCTAAGAGGAATTGGTGAGGCTTCCAGTTTGCCCTCACGCATACGTTCGTCTTCTTGCTTGATTGGAGTCTCGTTTATGGGATGAATATGCGGAACAATGGCTCGAGACAGATCTTTGAGATGAGAAGTTTAAACTTCGTCCGAGTCATTACTGTCAGATGGTAGTCTTCTTAAGGGAGATCTCTGAGGGTAGGTGTCATAGTCTGGACCGATCAAGATTGTGTGACTGTCTTCGGGTTCGGCTTCTTGAGCACCTTCATTGCCCACTTGACCATCATTATCATCATCGTCATCATCATCATCATTCTCATCATCAGCATCTTCAACATCATCATTATCTTCTTCTTCATCTTCATCTTCATCACTCTCGCCTTCTTCAATCTCTCGTCCAAGCTCATCTTTCGTGCCACTGACATTACAATTTGGATTATTTTGGTGTTCCTTCTCTAAAGTGGTCTTGATCTTTGAAAGCAACATTGCATATCGAAGTTGCTTTAGTTCTTCTTCATAAACTGGATCCAAGGGTGGCTTGTTGAGCTCGATGCAGAGTGGAGCTTTATCTCTCCCGAGAGTGCGATTTGTCATTTTGTAAGAGAAAACGCGATTGATTTCTTCAATTCGAAGGGCTTTTGAAACATCATCAGTGTCAATCCATGCAAGTGCAAATTCCTCTTCATCCTGCATTGCTTCAAAAGTTTCAAGAAAGATCCGCAGGGGTGCAGTGCGCCACTTTTGCCACTGTAGAACCCGATTGTAATCCGTTTCAATGGATTTTCTAAGCACTTGATCTGGTGAAGGTTGAGGAACATTTACTTCTGGAGCTGGGGCTGATTGTTTCGAGATTTTCGGAGGTTGTACCTGCACTACTGCTGTCTCGTCTACCAACACAGGTTCTTGTGTCAGAATTACCTGCTCTGTATTGGTAGGTTCTTGTGGCAGACAAGGCAAAGCGATCAAAGCATCAGTCGCCTCTTTCGTCTTTTCTGGTGACCCAGGTTCTTGTGGAAGACTTAAGCAACTGGCCTCCATGTCTACATTAGCAGGTTCTTGTGTCAGCTCTCGAAGGAGTTGATCTGCCAAAGTAGGTTCTTGTGGATGGTGGTCTTGAGGAGAACCGAGATCAGTCTTGGGTCCTTGATCATCAGGAAGATCATCTTTCGGTTGAACTTCCCCCTCAGAAAGTGCTTCTTTCGTGTCTCCTTCTTTCGGTGTAGAAGATTCCTTCGGGAAAGATTTAGCCTTGGCTGGAGACCGAAAGTGACTGCTTTTGATAATTCTGGAGAGAATTAAATTATCTTCGTCTTCGGATGAGTCCTTGACTATGATTGATTCTGGTAGAGGGGAGGGTGAGATAGGATCGTTCTTCTTTTGTGGAGATTTTGGTGAGATTGGAACAACTGAGGATTTTTCTCCCTTTTTCGCCTTACTCCGAGAGGAGTGCTTTTCTCGTCTTTGCCGTTTCGGCTTGGGTTGCTCATCTTCTGAAACCCTAGGTGTTCTTGATTTCCTCTTGGCTTTGACTTGCTCAATAGGGATTCCCAACTCCAACGCCTTTTGCTTGTCATATCCTGATGGTTTTTGTTTCATATGACATGCTTTCTGACCAGGTCGAATTCCTGGGCGCAGAACGACTCCTTTCGTTGCCAGAAGATGGCTTATCACAAACCCATATCCCAACTTCTTCGCAATGTCACCTGGACTTTTTCGATGAAAAGTGATGGTGTGAACAATATTGTTGAAAATGATCTTCGACCAATCGACTTTAAATTCATTCAAGAAGGCATGCAGCATTTTCAACTTCTCCTTCGTCACATCATCTGTGCCCGAGGTCTTGTGGTCGACGATTTTATTGAAGATATCAACAGTGAACTCATAGTCTAGCCGGAACCATTTCTTCTTCAACGGCCATGAGATTTCTGCTTTTGATGGTGCGTGATTGTTCTTGATGGATTCGTAAAAGTCCTCTGGGTCGAGATGATAATAGATGATATCTGTCTTGTAAGACTTATCTCTTTGTGGAAACCCGTATGTTGATCGAACGTCCTCTGCGGTAAGAACCACATGATGATTATTGACTCTGGAGGTGATAGTCAAATAATCAGAGGATATTGAAGCATTCATATAAAACTGGGTTACATCAACCGGGTGCCAAACAGTATAAAGCTGTGTGACGAAGCTGTATAATCCTGTTTCTGTAAGGAGATGTATGATGTGTTCACCAAAATTTCTATCCAAGATGTATTCAAGGAATCCATGCGCGTCCCACATACTTCCCTCTACGATGAAGGTTACTCTGGATTCAATGAATCTTAGGTCCTCTGTTGGAAAGCTTGGAATTTCCATGTTGGAAGGATTTTCTGGTTCAGGATTAGATGGTGATGCTTGTGGATATTCTGCCATGGATTTGGATTTGAGAGACAGAGGGTTGTGAAAAAGAAAATAAGAGTGAGGAAGGTAGGGTAAAAAGATCAAGAGAGGTTTAAGAGGGGTTTTATAGAACTCCGGGTCTCCGGGTATGGATGATCCAAAAAAAAAAAAAATCAAATCACTTCCGGTTCTTCTTCTTCAAAAGGTAACTGATCAACATGGGGGAGTGATAAGATTGTTTGCAGATCAAAAACGATCATTCCCTCATTTAATGAGGAGAGAGAAAATCACTCGAGTGTTTATAGGTGCATTAAATGCACGTCACATCATGTATCAGACAAAGTGGGGAAGTGGAACACTTTTCTCGGCCACATGATCCCATTGGGATTCATCTTAACGGTTGGAGATAAAGGCTAAAAGCATTAAGCATAATTAGTCATGATTTCAAACCCGAAAGAGGAGGCTTTCATAACATCAGACGAAACCAGAGCCCTTTTAAACTTTATTATCATAAAACCGAGAGAAGAAAGTACATAGGATAAGATAAAAAGATCAGTTTTTCTTCCTCTCGTTTTTCTTGACTCCGGATGATTCTCCTTTGGCCTTTTTCAAATTTCCCAGCATTTGTTTGAACCATTTCCCGGTTCGTAGAAGGTTTGAGCCAGATGAGGATTCGGGTTCTTCCTCCTGATCATATTTCTCCATAAAGTCTTCTTGTGCCAGAAAAGCCATGTAGTTTGGATCTGGAGTCCTGGTTGGATCTTTCGGAGTCTTCTCTTCGCTCTCAACAATGAAACCCGCCATATCATCATACTTAAGAGACGAATCGGAGTCAGAGGGAATTACTACTGGTGCATGTGGGCTATTTCCAGGGTAGAGATCACCCTGTTCCTCCCTGAGACGTCTGGCATATTCTTTCAGCTTGTGAGAATCACCTCTGGTGAAGGGTTTCTTTGGAGACATGGTAAAGAGAAGAGGGATGAGTATAAAGTGAAGAATTCTCCTCCTTTTATAGCAAGAGATCCACAAGGCTCATGTGTCTGCTACACATTAATTTCAACGTAACAATAAATGCTTATAGCTGTAGTCAAGAGATCATTAATTTCAAGTACGACTTTGACTGTTATCTTGTTTCTTTATG